AATATTCATTTCTTGTGTTCATTACGAATAAATTTCATTTCTACGTATTTCTGTATAATCTTCTCCGTTAATTCTGCCTACATAATATCATCAAATAAATATGTCATATAGATGTGTATCTATGCCTAACATGGCGGCGATGTGTGAAAATTCCTCAGCCAAATCGACAGATATTGGATGGCGATCAACTCCAAATCTGAAGTTTAACCGTACCAATGATATACGAAGACCGGAATCGTCGAAAAATTTTGATTCCAAAGGTTTTCTGGACGGCAGGTTCTGTGTATCTGAACCGTGCATCCCCATACATCCAAAATTAGCTGGCGAGACAGCTGCAGATATGGGGTGGAGATCAACGCCGAATCTAAAGTTTCAGCAGGTCACCAGCGATGTACGGAAACCGGAAAGTCCGAGACACAGACGTCCTCGTCGTTCATTTTGGAGCCAGACAAAGAAATTTGTTAGGCGGTTCCTTTGTTGTTGTGGTTCTATTGACATGATAGACCAGTAATATGTATATTATAGAGTTTAAAAGGTTTTTAAACATCCCCTCCTCTCCCACCGTTATCTCACTTTTGTGTTCGGTGATACTATTCTGAAACCGTTTATCATGTCCTCCATTGTCATTTGTACCAAGTTAGTGTAGGTTTGCCTCACGTATTTCATGCACTGTACGTCTGTACCGTCGTCGGCTCTTCGCCACCTTCTGTATTAAATTAATATTATTAATATTATTATGTTACTCATATTAAACGTATTATTATAAAGTATGTAGTATGTATTAATACCTATCTATTATATCTACCTCATTCGCTTTGCATAAATATATGTAATAATCCTATATGGTCACGCAGGTGGATATTGTATTGTCATGGATGTCATCGATTTTCATGATAGTAAAAAAAATAAAAATTATCTATACTAGAGTGGTTGACAAATGATTTACTTCACCTTCCGTTTAACCACCCCAACATCGAGCCATGTACGGGTGCGCATAATATTATATGAGCGATATATTAAGTCCACGCCTCTCCGTTTCGACTAGTTACGAATTATATTATAATATTTACCTATTCTCAAACAGCTCGGTGTGATATGCCTGCGGATAATGTTATTTGTTCTGCATCGTGATATGGAAATAACCGAATACACACTGAAATAAACGAGCAACCATGTAGACGTCTCTGCGGCAAACACCGCGTCGTAAGTTTGAGCTTCAGTGGTAGGTAAACATTAATAGGTAGGTACTGTTAAAAATCGTGAGTAGTACTTATAGAAGACGCTCCAGGCGTGTTATTCGCACACTCCACAGAGTCGGTATATTATACTGTAATACTATATAGGTGATCCGAGTTCTAATGTTGGACTCGATGGCGTATAATTGTACAGTGTACACCCCAATTTTTTGTATACAATAATTTATTAAAATTAATATACATATCATCAGCCTAATTCGCAATATTGTCCTAACTCCAAAAATGTGATTTTGGAATTTATTGTGATTAAAATTAAGGAAAAAACTGCATTGTATGATAAAGTTGTAACTGATAAATTGTAACATTTTATTCTCCATAGGACATTGATTATTAGAAATGGTCGTATCTCCGATGTGATGATTTTAACAATTAGAAAAAATCATAACTCCATATTAGAAAGGTAAAAATTATAAAGATAGGATATTTGAGAATTGAGAGATGAGATAGGAAATTTTCCAATGAAATGTTTTTCCTTTCTCCTGAAAACTAGTCAATATGGAGTTTAGTGATTTGCGAATTAAGATTACGATAATATCTGATTTCTAGATGTTTTTAAATATAATTGAAGACCACATTTTAGAACTTTTGAGATTTTCGTATTGCATTAGAAGTGTCCTTGTGGCCATATAAACTTCCGTTTTTAAAATGCTTCCATTAAGAAGAACTTGAACGCTTAGACATTTTAGTTTTAAGTACAAAAGATATCCAAACCTATCTTGGACCGACGAGTATGGAGTATTGGTTGACATACTATTATTTATCTTGAGAGTGATGAAACAGACAACTCACTGGAGAGTTGACGTTTCTGCGGAAAACACAGCACCGTATACATTTGATTACGACCAAACGCTTCGGAGGTAGGTAAATATTAATAGGTACTGCGCCTAGTTAAAAGTTGTAAGTTATAGTACTTACGCGACACGTCAGGTGTTATTTGCAGACTCCCCACATAGAGTTGGCGTACTATATTATTTTTATATACATTATATTATATTATATTACATACTATTTTATCTTTATATGTTAAATTTATTCTGTCCTATGTAACTACTAACTAGTAGAGATAATATTTATTATTGTATTGGTTGCCATTGGTTAATCGAGTAGAACAGGTACAATCATGCATCAAATCGAATTTTCACACATCGCCTACCAAGGAGACTGAGTAGAACTTTCTGCAGCGATAGTTACACCCCAAAGGAGTTGAGCAATCACAATTTAATTTTAAGAGCTGTCTTTTTTTACAGGAAACGAAGTGCGTATGATCAGCTAAGTGATCCGAGTTATATTGTGGGGCTTGGAGACACACCACCATTTTCTTCACACAATAATATTTATTAAAATTAGTACACATGTATACATATGTATTTTAATATGTATTTTTCAAATATACTTGAAGACCATCTTTTAGAATTGTTGACATTTTTGTATTAGATTAGAAGTGTCTTGTGACAGTACAAACTTCCGTTTTTAAAATGCTTCCATTGAGAAGAACTCGAAGGCTTGGAAATGTTATTTTTAAATATCCACCTCTCTTGCACCGTCGACTATGGAGTATCGGTCGAAATAGTACTATTTAACTTGAGAGTTGAGAGTGACGAAACAGATAACTCACTAGAGTCACTAACGCATTTGAGTCGTACACGCCAAGTAAAAATTCTCTGCTCCACGCACCAGTCAAACCGTTGTTAATCGTTACCTACTATGAAATAAAACATGTCTCAGTGAGTATTGTGATCACTGATCATGTAGGTAGTTTACAATTTACAGTGTAATCATTACATAATGAGCAACCCGCTTAGTTCCTCCCACATATTATCCACTTACTACGACTAGGTAGGTAATAGGTATAATGGTACTAGGTATAGTTGCTGATATTTACAATAATGGCTTTGTACTATCGGGCTTGCGACGGATAGTCGTAACTCAGTGATACTATATAATATGAAGAACATAAGATTCAGTTTTATGAGGAGGCCACACGTAAAGCGAAACATATACAACGGCCGAGAGAACGCGCTGTTAAGAGTTTTCGCGATCCGCAAGCGCGCGGCGTTTAAGTCACGCCCACTAATCGCAGTCGGTGGCACTGCTCTTTCAGTGCGTCTCGGGAGCGCTGATTATTATTTTATGAACGTTCGACCAAGATGGATCGTGTCAATATAAACTTCACACACGTATACGCCGCGGTATTATATTTAATATCCGCGCGTACTTATTCAAACTTTTTTTTTAAAGTTACTGCTTACCTAAATATATGTAGACATATATAGATAGTAAAAACGGTAATACAACATAGCTTGATTTGTAGTTATTAAATTATTACTTATACAACTACGAGTATATTACCAATAGGTAATGATGGTTGTTGGTTTGTTGCACATATTATTATAATTTATACAATTTTTAATTTTAATACCCAGTGGCGTATCCAGGGGGGGGGGGGCCACAGGGGCCATGGCCCCCCCCTCGTTGGCCGTATTTACTAGATTTTGTTTTAAAGATTTAAATGTATTCATATACATGAACGCAATGAACGCATACTTCAATAATACGCTTATCTTATGCCTTAATATACCAGTATTCAGTAATCACTATTACCGTTATCACGTTTCACTAACGGGGTTCTAGTTCCAAAGGGCGCCAGTGAATAGTTACACAGCTGTTTTGGTGACACGGACAGTTTAAAGGTCTCCGTACTGTACCATGCAATTGTTACATTAAAGGCTGAATTAAGTATATGGCAAAATCAATGGAAAGACGATGGACAAAATAGCACAGTGAATAAACCTGAAACCGCTATTGAGACTTTACCTTATTGTACAGATATTGTGCCTAATATTAAATTGCTTTTACAAATATTCACAACTCTTCCTGTTACAACAGCTACGCCAGAACGTACTTTTTCTACCTTAAAACGACTGAAAACATACTTAAGATCAACAATGACTGAAAATAGACTAAATGGATTAGCTTTAGTAAACATAAATAAAAAAAAGGTCATTTCAGAAACTGAAATCATTGAGGATTTTGCAGAAAAAGCACCAAGAAAATTGCAACTCGTAGATTGGTCAAAATAATTTCATACAATTGTTACTATTGTTTTTATACACTTATAATTTTGTTGGGATTAACCCATTTTTCTTATTAAATTGCTATTACTATTTATTATTATGTATATATATTAACTTAATGACTGACTGAAAATATAAATAAATAATTTGTATTAAAAACATTAAATATTTGGTTTATTTTATTTTTTTTGTTTTTGGTGGTATTTTAGTTAGTATTTTATATGGTAAAATGTTAGACAGTGTGTGCCCCCCCTAAAAAAAATCCTGGATACGCCACTGTTAATACCGATCTAATATTTGAAACTTCGAGATAAGGTTTTTCATAAATCACAAGGAACTGAAACATTCCGAAACTATTATTAACTTTACTATAGTATTTATAAATTGTTAGAACACAAATGTTAATTGAATCTTTTTGCCATTACGGTACTTACCTATATATTATTACGATGAGCTATAGACATGGAATTTTGCATTTATTGTATTTTTCATACATACTTTTTTTCGGTTTTTACCAATTTTTATAAAATCAAATATTTTAATATAATATAATTCACTAAAAATGACCGATACAATTGTATTACTCTAAAGAATAACATTAGGAAGGTACAAATAAAAACTGAATCGGTGAACCAATTTAAAATGTCTGATTAACTTTAAAAAATTTCCTTTATTTATTAGTTTTCATTTTTTTTACAATGCGTTGTTTGTCTTCTTGCTTATTTATGATTCGTTCTGAGTCTTTAATGTCACTTACTAATAATCGTTTTCCAAATTGCGGATTTATTAACTCTGGCAACAAACACTCGTAGTAAAATCTGTAATAAAATCATTACTTCTTAATACCTACATTACTTATTTAAGTTATTTGTTTGAGAGTTAATATTAATATTATACTTACATATGTAATAGAGGTTGAATGTTTTTATTCCAAAATTGTTCACAGTATTTTATATCTATACTGTAATACCAATTTTCGGTAAAAATTAATAAGTGACATAATGTTCTTTTGGTTACGTGAAGCTGTGTTTGAATTTGAAAATAGTAATCATGATTTTTTTTAAGTTTAACTTCTCCGTTACTCTTATCCACAGTACAGTAATTAATCTAGAGAAAGTTTAAATTATTAAAAAATAAGATAAATTATGAAATACTGTATTACTTTTCCATCACTAATAGATTCAAATATATCTAAGTAGTCTTTTGCTGAATATGAACATTTAATTTCAATTATTTCATCGTCTCCAATAAGGCCATCTAAATTAAATAAAAAAAAATAACAAATTTAAATACTATTTATAAAGTAGACTAAATATTTTTTTTTTAATAAAAATATATAACGTGTATTACCGGGGCTTGCTGCTCAGTAAAAAATATAACTATTAACACACAGACCCACAGGCTTTATATTTGAACCAAAAACCAAGCTGTACTTTTCTTTAGCAACGGGCTCCATAACACGTCCATACTCAACAGCTTTAATTTTACAATTAATATTTCCGTACAACAGGCCATGTACTATTTTTTTACATGATGTGGAAGACCTCATTTTACATATTTTGCCAACGTTCGACGCTGTTATTCGTTTGCGCCTTTCGGAATGCCAAAGTTGAGATATTCCCTGATCTCTAGTCTCATTTTCCAGATAAACTGAAATTTAAAAAAGTGGGTAAGCGGGTACCACCCTTCTATACAATAGGTGTCAAGTAGGTTACCTATATCTGTGTCTTTTAACTTATTAATAAAATCATTTTTTTTTTATTTCTAAATCTTCCAACGTAAAATCATCAGGTGGTAATTCTTCAGCGAGGCCGTAATGTTCATCAGGTCCTGATTTATACAGTTTTTTTTAGCTTTGAGAGGAAACAATTCACGACTTCTTATGTTATTGTTGCGTTTTCTCTGGACGTTTTTTAAAAACGCTTTTCCAAATATGCCTATAAAAATAATAAAACGGTTTTAAAAACATAAAGTTATAAAATTAAAATTAATTTTTTTGTACCCGGACTTTTCTTTGTAATATGTGTGTTTATTGCTCGTAAATACTGTTTTGAGTTGAACGCTACAACTGCAGCTTCAATTCTTGTGTTATAAGTGTTGCGTTGTGACAAATTTATCCTTTTCCCCCCAATATATATATTAATAACACTGTTAAATTGTTCACAAATGTTATTGTCAACATCAACTATCAAACTACCTACTCGAATTTATAACTAATCTATTGACTATATAGTCTATATTATTGATCTCTATCATCATTCGACTCATTTCGGCACGTTTGACCCAAATATCTTCATCAAGATTTTGCTTATTACAAAAATAGGTATCGCATTTTGTATGCTGGCCCAAAACATGATATGGGATGTTTAACAAATCTTTTGATAGACCTAAACATACAATTATAGCTGGATTATATTTTATTTAAAATAATATTTAATATCCACCATAATTACCTGTAATTTTAGTGTTTATGGAAGTTGTTGCATTTTTACGATATCGCACAGCTCTTACAACAGCGGTGCGAAATCTCGCTAAATTATTTAAAACAAAGTTTCTTAAATCTATTGGATAGTTGGTTTTCTTAGCCATTGCAGTTAATTTTTGTAGATAATTGAGTAACAGGTGGTTACGATACTCAATTTTTTGAACTAGACAATTTGGTCCATATGGCAATATTTCACATTATCTTTTTGTTACACTGCTATCACCATCTCCTAAAATAACATAAATATTTCTTTTTTTCGTGAATATTCTGAATATATGAACCATTAAATGGATGATTACTAAGACGTTACTGACTAAACAATTTATTTTATAAAAATTTACCGATAAGCTTTTTAAACTTCAACCCGTGCAACTCTACGCTTTTTAAAAACCCTTCTGCGACTCCATCGGCTTCCATACACGTTTCAGATTTTTTCCAATTAAGAAAGCAGTTATGATGTAATGGAGTTTCATTTTTGGTGTTAGCACGATTACATATTATACAAAACCGATTCAGGATGCCGATAAACAGTATTTTTTTTGTCCTGTATCCGATAATGGTGGCCTAAATTTATGACATTTAGTTAAATAAAATTTGTTTTAAAACTTTAAGAGAAAAACAAAATTTTTCTCACAACGCCAGATAAAGCATCATATTTTGTCTTGTACAGTGGCGTATTTACGGGGGGGGGGTCCATGGGGTCCGGACCCCTCCCATTGACTCGTGTCTCGTACATGTTAAATGTAGTGCAGTTTTTACATGATTAAAAAACAAATTTTATCATACGATTTTACGGATTGTATAAAAAATTTTCGAAGCTATAGTTATATCAACATTTTCAATAAATATCGTGATTATTTTTATCAGTTGGGTACCTACCGGAAATGGTTGAAAAATACCAAATTCATTCTTTAATTCAGATATTTTGTAGTTTTGTACATTGCTAGTATCTACAACCACTCCAGAGAGATCTTTTTCAAACTTTTTAAGGTTGAAAAGTTATCTAAGATCAACTATGAATGAAGTAGGTACCTAATGTAATTAAGGAAATATCTGTATAAAAGTTATAACATATAACTATATATTCGATTCTGAGGGATCTATTGGTTCTACAATGGTGTTTATTTTTTTTTCCTGTATACAAAATTTCTTCCAGAAGGAGTGCTTCGATTTCAACATGTAAGACATATAGTAACTTATCTTTTAGAAAATTGGATCAAGATTACTATCTTAGAGAGGTCATTTTTTGATTTTCTCAATAGTTATTTAATGCCACTGTAAAAACCACAAAAAAAATTACGAAAAACCTCTAAAAATGGGATTTTAATTTCTAACACTTTGTCTATCACCATAGAAAAAAATAAAAAATAAAAGTATTTCATTATTAATTCAACTAACAGGCTATAATAAATAATAACAATATAAAATATCCAGACTGACAAACCGTCTTCGCTCAGAATCGTTTTTCTTATACAATGATATTATATTATATCATTGAGTTCAAGTTTAATACAATCCATTATACATTGACCCACTTGTAACCTACTGTACAGCAGCAGAGTGACATCCACTCACCCGCTTCTTTTTAAATTTGTTTTGTACATATTATTATTTAATAATTAAAAACTCGACAATTTTATATCGTCTTATAAATATGGTATATTTTATTTAATAAAGAGTAAATGGGTGGTGTGGCGGGCTTCGTCCCCCGTGGCTCTGTGTTCTGGAGTTCTGGACCCTCCCCATGACAAATTCCTAAATACGCCACTGGTCTTGTAGCTGCGTTTTGACCATTGGCAATCGGCAACTACAGTACAAAACGGAATTTCGTCATCGACATCCACATCTCCGGCTGCAATAGCTAATTTTTTCTCTTCTTCCCCTGCTTTACGAATTTCCTCCCATGCTAGATTATGAATACTGTTACATAAGGAGTTATGATGTCTAGAAAATGTTGTATTTGACATACAAGGTACTTCAATTGCTGCAGAAAATTCAAATAACTGGGTTTGACCAATACCTAATTTTTAAAACAAACATAGATGTATAATCAAGAAAATAAATAATGCTGCATTTATTTATTATTTTAATTTAAAAGTATCAGTGAATATTCCGTTTTATATTTATAACAACTATACTGGTAAAAGTTTCAAGTTTCTACGACATATACTTTTTGAAAAATAAGAAATATCTAAAGTCGTTATTTTACGCAATTTCGTAAAAATTTAAATTTCAGACGTTCATAAAATATTTGTCTAAAAATGCTCGAGATTTTTTTTAAAGTTATTTGAAGAAAAACTTATGTGTTACTTTGTGTTGAAGTTTTTACCTTAGGTATAAATAACAAAAATTTTATGAATTTTCAACTAAAAAATTACTTGCAAATGTTCATAATTTTACTATATTTCGTAACAATTTAAACTTTAAGCGCTTATAAAAAGAATTTGTGATTAACGATTTTTGATTTTTTTTTAATTGCGTTGAGTAGGCACAGCTTATAAGAAATCTTAATAACCTTTTTCATTTTTGGGCAACCAAACTTTTTTTATCAATATTTCAAAAAAAATAAAACGAATAAAAACTAAAATAAAAAACCTCAATGTAAAATTAATATACGCATACATCAGTCCATTCAGAATCCAAAAAAGTTTGTTGGAAAGTCAAATTAATTTTTATGATCTTACCAATTGCAACAGTACCATTCGTTATAACTTCATTTATTGGAAGGCGAGACACTTCCTTAGAGTCTGAAGAAATTATTGTTGTAGCCTTGCACATTTGACAAATGAATTTAAATTTAGAAAAAAATCCATTTCGACTTTCGGATATAAATTCCATATTCGCGAATGAACATCCAAATCTGTCATCATGCAAACTATTTTGAATTTGTTTAAAAATGTAACAAATATCCACTATTCGTCTACCTGTTAAAATTGTTTTCCTAAATGTACAAATAAATTGTAATATTTGAAAACCGAATTTTTAGCTTTTTTTATTTAATCAAAACTTTTCTAACTTGTTAGAATCGTTTTCTACTTCAGTTGTTAATACATGGGACTCAATATCTTGGTTTGAGAATTCTATAGTTCCTCTTTCTTGAGTTAGTTCATCTCCTAATGTATTACTATTGTGTAACTCGGCACTATCAAAACTCGGAGTTTGTACAATATTAATAGCACTAACTGACTAACTGTATGCAATGGTGTTGAGGTGTACCTATATACAAGTATCAATGTAATATAAAGAGACGGGCAAGTAAGTGGGTATCGTTCTGCAGTACAGTAGGTTACAAGTGAGTCACTGTAATGGATTGTGTTAAATTGGTATCCAATGATATAATATCATTGTATAAGAAAAACGATTCTGAGCGAAGACGGTCAGTCGCCTTCCTATGATATTACTAACTACTAAGTATAATATTTAATGATATTATTGTGAATAAAGTTATTAATAGGTATATTATAAACTATTTACGTGGAATCTTGTTTTAAATTTTCAATCCTTGGCTATAAAAGTTGAACATTTTATACATTTTTAACTACAAAATAATTTTAAATTTTAAATTTGATAAATTTTGTCAAAAAGTCAACTTTAAATGCTTTTAAAAAAAAAATTGTGACTATGTATTTTCAACATTTTTCATTTGCTATAGTAACAGTATACCAGGAGCCTTGAATTAAATTTTCACGGTTTTTTACTTAACAAACAAAATTTTATTGACAATTATAGAAAAAAAAAAATAAACAAATTGAAAACTGAAAATGTCCGTAAATAGCTCAAAACGAGTCAAAATATTTTCAAAATTGTATGGTGTATAGAAAATAAGAATAAAAATTTAGTTAAATTTTCATGCATCTACAGTAGTTCATTTTTGAAGTACAACAAAATAAGAAAATCGCTACATAAGAAATCGAGTGAATATTCAATTATGTAAAAATTTGAACTTCAAACGCTCATAAAAATTTAATTTGAATTGGTATTAGAAATTTTTTTTTGTTAATTGTAGGCAATCTTATGAGAAATCTTGTGTTACATTTTCAAATCTTTGATTTAAAAAGAAAATG